CAGGCATAGTACTGCCAGAAGATGTGTCACCCGTCATCCTAAAATAACTATTTTCATTATGCCATTCTTCTGATGAAGAACCTGTATCCAAATTCCTTTTTAGTTTTTGAGCCCTTCTCTTTCCTTCTTGGTATAGACTGTGGCCCCCTCCATACTGATCAAGGCTGGTCTCATTCCTCTTCCCCGTCAAGCCCTTAGCTCCTTCCTGGGCTTGAACCGACTGCCTATCCTATATCTTTTTTCCTTGATCAGTCTTACTCTTCCTTTGAAGCTCAACTCAATGTTCAGCAGTTGCGCAGACTTCCCAAACATTCTAGTAACTCTTGTTGCCTACATTAATTTAGAGCTGGCAGGCAACCTTTATAAAGATTTTATCACTTATTCTTTTTTCTCCAATCAGATAACCAGCTCTCAGAGGAAGGGATAATACAGTTAAACAGGTGCAGCACGAAGGCACTGGATTATGAATCCAAGGGTCAGGTCACCTATGAGTGCTGCCACATGCTGGCTGTGTTGTCTTAGAAAAACTATCCTGAATGACTGTTCTCATCTGTAAAATGAGTGGGGGATAAGGAGGGTATATTAGTGTTCTATTTGCTGCTGTAACAAGTTACTACAAACTTAGTGGCTTAAAGCAACACAAATTTATTCTCTTACCTTTCTGGAGGTCAGAAGTCGAAAATAAGTTGGCAGGGCATCATTCTTTCTGGAGGCTCTAGGGAGAATCCATTTCCTGTCTTTTTTAGCTTCTGGAGACTGGCTGCCTGCATTCCTTGGCTCATAGCTCCTTCCTTCATCTTCAAAGAGCATTGCTCCATCTCTTCTCTGTTTCTATGATTCCTTTTTTCCTTAAAAGGACTCTTGTGACTACATTGGACCCACCCAGTTAATCCAGGATAATCTCCCCACCTCAAACTTAATAACATCTGCAAAATCTCTTGTGCCATGTAAGGTAACCTATTCACAGATTCTGGGGATTAGGACATAGATGTTTTGGGAGCCATTATTCCGTCTACCACACTGGGTTCTTAGGTCTCTTATGCCTCTTAACACGCCATGAATCTAAAGACATATTTCTCTCAGTTATTTAAGGAATTTAGCATTGTGCTAGGCTCATTAATGTCTTGATAAGTTCTGTTTATCCACGAGGATTTCCTCTTCTCAGATTGTTATTAGGATGGGGGCATTTAGGGGGAGGAGTGAAAAGGTGAAGGCATTAAGAAGTGGACATTGATAGTTATGAAATAGTCAAGGGGATGTAAAGTATAACATAGGGAAAATAGTCAATAATATTATAATAACTGTATAGTGCCAGGTGGGTACTAAACTAATGGGGGGGATCACCTCATAAATTATATAAATATCTAATCACTATGCTATACACCTGGAACTAGTATAAAATAATATTGACTGCCAACTGTAATTGAAAAGAAAACAAAAAGATTGTTATTAGGGTTCTAGGGCCTGATACAATGATAGAACCGGGAGCACAAACCCTTAGAATTGTTTAGGTTTCCACTGACTATACTTTTCCTAGCAAAAATTTGACAGTGCTCCTCTACCTATCTTTAATTTATGGTTTGAAAATCCTGAAAAAGCTCCAAAGAATTTTGCCTGTTTTCCAATAACCAGGGATAGCCATTAAATAGCCTGTTGATTACACTGGTGATTCTGCTGTATATCTAGTGGTCTCTATAAATTTCTGAATGTATGTTTCCAGGTCCTTTTGCATAAATTGAAGTAGATGCAGCCTAAGGTGCCAAACAGTCTTGGTACTAACCTAACTGGTCTCATCTATAACTGCTGTTTAATGGCATGGTACTTCACAGCATTTCAGATTGGCATTTGCATGGGAGCTATGCTGTTTTTCTGTCCCTACATCCCATAGGGTGGTGTCCACCTCGGGTGACTACTGCTTACAAAGCAGTGAGAAAGCATTCATAGAATATTTTTATAGTGGGTCTATTATTTTCTCTCCAGTGCTCAGCTCATTGTGCTGAGATAGGATTACCAATGGGTTAAAAATATGCCCCCCCCATCATATAATTTTAAGTTTTGAGATTACTTTTGATTATCAAGTCTGAGAAATGTAAAATGTGACTCAAACCGAACTGCAACCTGCATATTGAAGTTTTCTTTCCCTTTTGTTTCTTAGATGCACCCACTGGGCCTATGTAATAACAATGATGAAGAAGACTTGTATGAATATGGCTGGGTAGGAGTGGTGAAGCTGGAACAGCCAGAATTGGACCCGAAACCATGTCTCACTGTTCTGGGCAAGGTAAGCACCAGGCCCTCCAAATCATTCTGACTCCATTTGGTGTTCTCCACTCTCCCGTTTCCTCCATTCCTCAAATGGTTGCTTACAGAGAAGAGCCTTGTGGTACATTACTCCGTCCTAGCTGAAGTCCAGTGGGTTGATGACGAAGACATATCTTGTAGCAGCCCACTAGGTGCTTACACGTTTGGACTCTGATGGAGACTGCTAGCCTCAGAGTTCCCTCGACCTACTGTCCACTGTGTGGCCTTGGGCAAGTTACTTACCCTCAAGGAGTCTCAGTTTCTTATCTGTGAGTTGGTTCGATAAGAGAGATTCATAATACCTTATCTTATACTCTTGGGGCCAGATGTTTCAGAATTCTATAATTTTGAGGGTTTAGAAAGGTATTAAGGTTATATATATTTTATAATAAGTAGCCCCGGGAAGATTTGAGGTAGTACTCAGTAATCAAACACATTTATATTTGTCTAGCAAAGTATATGGATATTCACCTTAGTGGGATAACTAAAATCTAAATAGCCTCGTGTTGGTTTAGGGCAGCTTTACCTCCGAAACGAGTTCAGGTTCATTAAATTTTGCTGCCAAGTAAGCTATGGAAAAACTTTTGGGTCTTAGAGCTTTTTTGGTTTCAGAATGGCAGACAGCAATTATGGTCCTGTATTAGAACTTACCTCATAGAATGGTTAGGAGGTGAGATGAGATGCGAACGGTCTAGCACAGAATAAGCTCTCAAAAAATGTTTGCTACCATTGGCTGTTGTCATCCCATTTAGAAGTACTAAAAAAGATTGTTTTTTTAGCCAAGTGGGTCAGCATTACCTGACTGTAGTATAAGATAGAAATAAATTTATTTTGGAAAACCATCTGTCAATGATCTTAAAATATGATAGGTAATAACCTGTTTTAAACTGGATCATTTTGTTAAAGGGAAAGGTTTAGAGAAAGTTAGTAGAATTTTGGTTGGAGGAATCATAGTATCTCTTTAGGGGATAGTGTTTTGCCTGGATATTTTTTTATACTCTCAGAAGCTGCTGTTCTAGGTACCATGGGGAGACAGCTGGGGGAAAAGCAGTCCTGGTTCTTAAACTCTTGAAGATTTCTTGGGAGATCCAGGAAAGAGAAGAGGTATACTTGATGCAGGATACTTGAGAAGGGAGCTTTTCCCAGACTTGAAGAGCCCTAGCCCGTGTCTTCGGAAAGACTTTTGGCCCAGGAGACCCTCATGGGTCTGATTTTGCATCCCACTTGTCTTCTGAGTAGCTTCTGGCACTTGCTAAGTTTTTTGCCCCTTTGCAGGAAACAAACAAACACAGGAATTATTACCTGTTTGGTTTACAAGTCACAAAGTTGAAGCAAGGTATTTTAGGTGGCCCAAGCCCTGATACTTCATCGTTTAAATAGTTGGCCAGAACTGCTTAATGATACTTGGAGAATAGTCACCCCCTTGAGAATATTTTAGTGTTTTCCTAGGAGAAATGCCAGCTACATCCAAAGGCTGTAGGAACAGTGCTTTCCTTGTAGCTAGTACACTCCTAATATAAAAATTTCTCTATACTTAAGCTGCCACTATGCAAGGCTCAGCAGCTTGTCTTAATTTGCTTTGCCCCAGTTCAGTGAGGCTCCACCTTTGCATTTGATGTGTCTATAAATGAGTTGGAACAGGGCTCCCAGAGACACCCCATTGTTCTCCCATGGCTTGGTGGTGTTGAAGTCATTCAGAGGACCCAATTGTTTCCTCCTCCGCCTGGAACAACCCTGTAGTGGTTTTTACTTGGAGAGTTTTGTATGGTTTGGCCTGCTGGCCTGTGAAGCCAGGAGGAATAAAAATCCAAGACATATATTGAATCATTAAGTACTTCTTGGGTTTATTCATTCACCAAATATTTATTGAATGCAGAGGCCCAGGAGCTAAGTGTATGATTCTACCTGCTTACAAGCAATAGTCTCTTACCCTCGCCGCATGTTTCTGTTTGGAAAGACTGTGTGATGGCCAGGCGGTATTTACGCGTGGTTAGTTACTGAAATTTGGCTTAACACCTGATTAAAATCATTAGCAAAAATGCTTGGGCAAGACAGTTTTGCATTTGTTTAAAACCTGGCTTGGTAACAGGAGGTGTGATGAGTCAGGTATCTCTCTCGCCCTTCCCTCTTTCTCTTTCTCCCTCTCTCTCCCTTTTTCTTTCATTTTCTTAAAATGTAGCTGTTCTCAGATTCAGGTTTTTTAACTTTGCTAACTGTGTTTTCCTTTTTTCTGAGCCCCAAGGGCAGTGGCAGGAGACTTCGGTAAAGAAATGCGAAGTGATCTTCATGGGTAGCCCAGTCTTTTGCAGAGCATGGTTTTCCATCATTTCTTTGCTTGTAGTGGCTATGGCAAGGAGGTGGACACTGAAGAGAGGCATGAGAAAGGAGGAACTACAGCCAAGTCAGTGTGGGAGGAGGGGAGAGGGATTCCTCTGCATAGATGTTGGGACTTGTTAAAAGCCATAGAATGGAGGACTCTTTCTGTCAGGCATTCGGAAAAGCCTGTAGGAGAATAGGGGAGAGTGCCAGACAAATACCCTTCTCCCTCCCCCATCATCCACCCTCATTACCCACCCGCCCGCAGAAAATGCCATGGGGCGCAAAGTTGAAATAGAGAGGAATGTCCTAAATTAAAAAAAAGTAAATGCCTCTCCACAAGTTCAAATAAAGTTTCATTTTAAAAGCAGAAGACATAAACTCATCACCTTGGTTTATTACTGAGTGCTTTTGAACTGAGAAAGGATCACTATAAACTCATGAGAGAAAAGTGATTTATGATCCCCTCCTTGTAATCTTTTTGATTCTGTAGGAGGTGGGGTAGACAATAGGATCTGCTGCGGAGGCAGAGTTGAGGTGAGGGTGAGCCCCCCACACAGAGGCAGCAGGCCAGGGCACCAAGTCAGACCTGGCTTTACACCAGGCCCAGGGCAAGTCTTAGCTCTTGGGGCCTCTTTTTCACTGACTGTGAAGAGGCTGTTCTGGGTTTCTTGCTTATTTAACATTTTGAGCTTCTGTATCACATTTAAAACCTTCCCTTGATATTCTAAGTTGGGGAGGTTCTAGTGGCAGCATTGACAGACAGACTCGGTTACTCATGACAGTTTAAGTCCTAGAAAATTAAAATAGAATAAAATTGACATTTCTGAGCAGCTCACTATTGAAAGTAAGGGTCTTACACCACCCCCAAAGTACAAGTGTCTATATTTATGCCCCAGGCATTTTAACCCTTCAATTCAACCAGTATTTATTAAGCATCTTATGGGACTGGTAAGAATTTTGAAGGTTGACTTTAATAGCTTTGGTTTCTATGACCCGTCAGCCTCATTGAGAGTCATGGCAGGGAACACACAAGATGCAGTGGAATTTCTAACAAAGTCCACCTGGCCCAGATTTCATGAATAAGCCTCCCTAAACCCAGAGTGAAGTCTTGGGGAGATTGAAAGACAGGATGGTCAACAGGCATGGACTCTGCTCTTTGCAGTACTTAAGAGGACAATGAGTAAGTTAATGAAAAGACAAGAGAATTTCAAGTCATGGAGACCCAGCTTTGGCTGAATGACCTTGCAAAGGTCACTTCAGCTCCTGGGGCCTTACTCTTCTCATTGGGGCTCATGCTGCCTTTGTCATTGCAGTGGAAATTCTATGAGATGTTTGTGGTGCACTTAACACAGCCTGGCTCAGAGTAAATTCCTTATGGTTCAGGTGCTCACCAAGTTCTAAGAGCTTTATGTGCAGTGTCTCCTTTCATTGTCAGACCAGCTCTGAGATTGTGTCTAGATTCCCATTTTACAGTGAGGAAATTGAGTCCCAAAGACATTCTCTACCTAACCTAGGATCAAGGGGCTCCCAAGTAGCTGAGCAGAGATCCGAGATGAAGACTGTTCTGTTTATTGCCTCATCAATGTTAGTCTCTTCCCCTTGCCTCCTTTTGTCTTCACCGGTTTTTCTATATAAAAATCAGATGCTTTTCAGTAGTTGTTGGCTCAGTTAGGACTATTGTTTCCACTTAATAGAAATCCAACTCTAGCTACATTGCTCTGAGGGTCTTGAAAAGCATCAGAGAACCCATGATGGGGGTACTGCCCCTCTTCTAGAATAGCTGACGCTAGTGCTCTATGCCAGTGGTCCCTTTCCAAGTCTTCTCTTCGGTGTGTCTGCTTTATTCCCCCACCTCCATCACCTAGTGGGAGACACAGCTCCCTAATATCCCTGGGCCTGACACTTTCTTGATTTCCAGTCTAAAGGACTCCAGAAAAGGAATTCATTGGCCCATCTTGGATCAGGTGCTCACCTTTAGTCTGGTCAGCTGTGATCTGGGGCTGGGAACACGCTGGAATTTAGCTTCCTGCCCAGCCGTGTGTGGGAGTGAGAGGAAGATATATCTTCTAAAGAAAGCTGGCGAGGGCAGTGCTGGGCTTCCATCCTCTAAACAGCTCCCTGCAGTCAGCAAGTCATGTATGGGACCATAAGCTGGTGGGTGATATCTTCAGTTTACCCCGAGTTGTCCAGAGAGGCTCCAATTGGAAGGGACTCCTCTGATTCATGTGTACTATGAAGAGTCAGATCCTTTTCTTGCCCTGAACTGAGGGCCAGTCCCTGACACAGACAGTCTTAGTTGTTAGAAGAGAAGTAAGTCCACGTGGTTGGAGAGGTTGGGCAAATTTTATAGAGAGAGACCTGCCTGAGACAAGGTGAAATGGAGGAATAATCTCCAGGAATAGGACAGAGAGAAAGGGAACAAGAAGTTTCTTCAAGGGACATTGAAAGTTGCTGGAGAAGGAAGAGGCTTTCGGCTTAAGGAGTTTGGCTTTCAACATCTAAGTAGTTGGGAGCCACTGGAGGTTTCTAATGATAGGATGAGTGCCATAGATTCTGGCTTTGGAAATGTTCATTTGGTGGTGGCAGCAAGGCTGGTTGAGGGGAGGATCAGGTTATGCTTTGCTGCTGGATGTTTCTGGGAACTAAATGGACCCAGACATC